CCTGATGGTCTCCCACGCAAGGACTAACCCGATGAGTTCGGAATCAGCTTTTCAAGGTCATCCAAGGCTGGCCGGGTGCCAAGCCCTAACGAAGTGGAACAATTTCCGCCAATGTCTCCCCATTATGTCAATGCAAAAAAAAAGGGGGGGTGTCGTTTACTGATTTCAAAAGATGGTTCCTTATGGCTCTGGATTTCTGAACTGAGATTTGGACCACGAGTGGCGCTGGGATCAGTGCCACTCCCCGCTGTTGCATCTGTAACTGGCACAACCTAGGAGAATGAGGACCCACGTAAATAAGGGAGCCAGTCTGTGCTTGCTATGAATAAATTTTATTTCCAAGGACATGAATTCATCTTTCATATGTTTAAGTGTGACTGAATACAATGCTCTGCTAGAAAACAAATTAGTAAAATAGCTGATTATTCTGTGGAAAAGGCTATATTAAACTGAATAGAAAACAGGCAGGGGATGAGCAAGATAATGCCACAAGTTACTTCATTCTTAGACACAAAAATAGGTTCTGGTCTCAGCGATGTTACAACACCAAGCAAGGCAGAGCGCGATTTAAAGCCTCGGGAACAGGCTGCCTCACGACACAGGGCAGAAGCAATGCCCACTCCACCAGCACGAACGGGCTCCGCTCCTCCGAGACTTAAAGCCACTTGCACCAGAGCGAGAGCGGACGGGAGGAGCGCGCGGAAAGCCTCGGGGGATTTCAGAGTTTACACAAAGTGGCTTGCTGTCCTCCATGGAAGCCTTTCCTTAACATGCTCAGGATAATCCCTGCTCAGCTGCTTTTGCATACACAGGATTAGCACCTTCTGCTTGCTAAATTTCATTTATAAACTTAATCAGTCAAGCTATAGTGTTATTTGTTCTGGTTTGTTTTTTTAACGAGAAAGACCAAACAAAAGCACATAGTAAAATCTGATATATTCCAGTGATTAATAAACATAAGACGCTTAAACATAACAGCCTTTCTGAAGGTCTTTAGGAATCACTCTTCTTTTTGTTTTTCTTTAGGAAGGAAGGCGTACGAAACTTCTTCTTCTTCTTGGAAGGAGACTTCCCCGGAGACTCATCACTGCCTGCTTCGGCTGCTGCCCCCTCCTCAGCCAGGGGAGAAGGGGGCTCTTCGCTCGAGGGGAGGCAGGGCTGGGCGCTGCCGGGGGGACCCTCCTTCTGGGGCGGGGCAAGGCCGGGGTCGGGCTGGTCGTCCTCTGTTCCAAAGACTTCGGAAGGCTCGTCGGGGGCGAGGTCCGGGAGACTCGGCTTAGAAGCAGCGGCTTCACCGGCTTCATGGCCCGTCCGGCCCCGCGGGCCCTCCTGGGTGGAGAGCGCCGGAAA